CCCTTTTCCAGCTGGGCTACTTAATTGATGTACAGTATTACGATTCAGTTATTTTAAAGCTTATGACCTAGCGGAGATGCGTATGGTAACTAAAATGATAATAATCTATAGCAAGCTCACTCACTTCACCCCTTTCCAGACAATCATGATTTAAATGAAATGATTCCCAACTAGAGCCTACCATCCTAGAATATAAAGCTTTGTTATTGACTTATGATCAGCTCTTTCTTTGGCGGGAACCATTTTTGTCCAATGATCTAGAAGAATGATTATTCACTTTTAAATCATGTTGGTAAAATATGTTATTTATAAAATTTGCATGCCTTTCACAATTTAGATTGGATTTCCTGTAAACTAACAAAAACAATTTCTTCACTCAGATTCCTATGTGTATCCAGATACTTTTCTTGTTTTAGAATTGTTTTGCAAGAACAATCAATCAAAAGCTTGTCAATAGTTTTCACATATTTCAAAATAATAAATATTTCACTACGATTCCTCACTATTTTATTCTTCTTAGCCAGAATGTTTTTTTTTTAGGAGATGAAATCCTCTTTGAGTACGTGGATGAAGTAGCTAGGTCTGTGGAGAACCAGCTTTTGACAGTATCTTTGCAGAGGAAAGACAAACGGAAACGTTACATTTTTGAGCTTCTTTCTCGTTTGGGACAGTCTGTTGTCGGTTATGATGCCCTTGAATACCAAAGTGCAGCCTTCCTGCTTGAAAAAAATGGGTAAGTTTGTTCGATAAAGGTTTTTCATAATTGTGATGTAGTTGTTTTCAATAAAAATCATACAGAACCGGTGTGTTTCTTTGATATTTATGTTGGGCAATATTTGTGAAAACTTGAATTTATTATATTGGGCTCCAAGGTTATGGTGAAATTTAGCTGGTCATGCTATGGTAACTACATTATGAGTTCTTGTTAACGTGTCTTAATCAAAACAAGCGCCGAAGCAGTTAAAAAAAAGCCAAAGCAGTTTGTAATAGTAAATTTGAGAAAGCTTTGTCAGATTGGTTAGTGGAAAGCCCTATGTGCAATGTCAATGAGTTTTTGGAAAATACATTTCAATAGGTGTATAATCAATAGTCAATAATCAATAGGTGTTCAGATCTAGGCCTGTTTATCTGTTCAATTTTAATTAGGCTAAGATATTTTAAATGTGACTTTGACCATACATGTATATGTTAAACGTCAATAAACAGTTCTGATACTGATATATTTTGTTGTTGACTTTGGCTGGAGGCTCATGTCGAAGCGCCACCATGTTTTTTCGAAGTTGCAAAAGGTTGAAAACAGTTTGATCACAGGTATGTTTGCGTCATGGAGGTGACTCTACCGTCGATGTTTCCCAGAATGCCTCCATCGTATCGTCTCCTCTCCGCCTACACCAGCAGTTCAGAAATCCTCCCATTGTCCCAAACCATCACTCTACCCTATAACGACAAGTGGGACGTCGCCGACATGGTGGATAATGCTCTCACTACCATAAAAAACAAAAAAATCTCAGACTTTCAGAAATTTACTGTACCACTCTTCAAGCTCAAGTGATCTCTGAAATTCCTATTTTTCCATGCTTTTTAACCGAATCATCTAAAATGGATTTACCTGAAGCGATATGTTTGTCATTAGTATGTTGTCAACTTCAATTGCGGTAAATAGTTGAATTCAAACTATTAAAAATTAAAGTATATTTCTAAATTGTGTAGTTGAAGTGGACACAAAGTTTATAGCAGGTTTTCAAAGTGGATTGAATTTGTTGATTTAATAAAAAATAGGGTAATTCCATCATAATGTATTTACCTTCAAAGTTTTGATGTAAGTACTGTATTTACTTTTTTACAATAAATATATATATGAAATAGAAATCAGACTTTTCTGTATGAACCCTAATACTTCATAGTTTTTCTGTTATTATATTTTTAATTGCTCCATAAACTTATTTACTGCTTGTAAAATATGGTGAACGTCATAAACAACACTTTATCAGTTTGGTTGCACTGCACAATGCCTGCTGATGTCAAAGCCAAAAATTGGAACACTAATTACTTACGAGGCAAAGACGAGGACAGGAATAGTTAGTCTAAGCAAGTGCTGGAAAATCTCTTTTGAAACATGTCATCAACAAACAAACTCCATCACAACTGAAAAATACTCACTTACAACTGTTGAATTTTTATTAATAAACAGCTGAAATATTACGATTTTTAGTTGTAAAATGGGGTAGAATAAGGGGCTAGTCAGGTTTGCCCCATTTTACAACTAAAAATCTTAATATTTCAGCTATTCCTTATTTGATCTTTTTGAACTTGGTATCGTTAGATATTTTTGAACTTGGTATCGTTAGATAGATAATTAAAAATGGTAAATTAAATTGTTCTTGACATTTTTTCATAAAACCAGCCAGTTTAGAGTAATTTAAGTTTAAAACTTTAAATGGCCGCCATTTTGAAATTTTAGGTTGAATCGAGATGAACTGTTTTCTAACACGGGTCTCTTCTACCTTAACATACATACCAATCCATCGTTTTAAAATGTTCAAAGATAAAAATGTTTTTGTAAAAAATACAAAATGGCGGATATCCAGTTAACAAAGCGATTTTGGAAAAAATGTTATTCTTGTTCTTGATTTTCTATTTATTTTGACCTAAGGAATCACTAGGTAACATATGTCCCCACCTTTTTTGAACACCCTGTATATGATTAACATTATTTTAACATAAAAATAAAAGCAAAAAGTTTATAGCAAACCTACGTAAGCACATAAAAATTTGAAGTCCAAGACACGGTTATGTTCATTGAGCAGTAAACACACACTAGAAGCTAAAACATAAGAAACTATGTACAGACTACAGAGAAGTAGCATACAGAGGATACAAGATTATAGGACAACCGTGCGCTTTTAGCTCTGGTATGTTGTGGTGGAGGTGTACTTGTACTGAGCAAGGAAGAACCCAAACGACAATGGTCCCATAGCATTGTTGTACAGCAGTTGTAGCGCACAGGGTCTTCCTACAGCGTGAGCGCTGTAGTACGATGGCGAGGAGGAAAGGAGAGCGGGATCGGACGACAAAAAGAATTTACTCTAGACACCAGCGTCTGGTGCTAGACACCTGTAGAAAATAATGTCAGACTATTATAAATATAAAGGACTGAATTTGCAATGGAATTCAGAAATGACAAAAGTAAACAAAATAACAATAATTGAAATTAATAACAAAAACCTGACCATAGTGGTGTAATCTACACTTATAAACATTGAGTAGTTATTCACAACGCTTAATTCCTGAACTAGGTTATCTGAATCTAATCAAAATTCAGGTTAATGAAACATCATAAATATTACAACATATATTTCACATAATATGTACAAGTTTACATATATTTAAAAATAAGTACGTTACTTTACAGCCATGACAAAATATACAAAAAGTGCTTATAAATTAGGTAAAGTAGTGAATTTTTCACATCACTGATGTAAAAAGAATAAATAAATGAGACTATACAGAAGGTTATTTACAAAGGTCATCTAGAACTTCTTATAAATTAGGTTATGGTTTTGATCATTTTTGTAACTAAAATATTATTTCGCTTGTTATGTTATTTACAAGTGAAATGGCACATATAAGTAGTAAATTGCATTTCCCATTATTCTTTTAAGAGCTTGTACTATTTTTTATGGAGAGGTCGTCTTGAAGTTAAATTTAGTTACATTTTAATCAGTTACCGTAGCTAATTTATAAGAAGTCTTAAAAGAGAGGGAAATATTCATAACGATATAAAATTAACTTGCTATATAGACTAAAATTCTAATTTAAAAAAAGAATAAAAATATATTAAAACCTATCAGTCTTAAAAGAATCATAAATAATATGAGAAAAAATCTTTAAAACAAAACTAATTAATACAGTAATCCTCAGTTTTAACAAAACTAAAGGAATCGACTTGTATAAAAAGAGTATAGGTAGAGTAATAACTTAATTACATTATAGTATCATTACAAGAATTAGAAAATCTTATACTACCAAACAGTTATCTTTCATACAAAATACATATCTTTGGTAATAAAGCTAATTATTATAAGTACATACATACTCAGAAGAGTAACAGGAGGGGTTAATTGAGAAACCAGCAAGGACTTGAAAGTAGAAAAATGCATTTTACGACAAGGTGTAACAAAAAGAATTTAAATTGAATATACTTTGAGAATATTGTTGTTTTTATGAATAATTTTATTCAATAGCTTATTCGTTTGTTCGTGTTTACTGTCTGAAAAGTCTGACATATTAATAATTTAATAATAAGTAAAAAGGTGATTAACTAAAATAAAAAAATAAGATATTTTTCAGTTTTGAATCCAGCAATTACCAAAATACACGATATCAGCCACAAAAGTGCGTTCCTGATAAACCCTACTAACGCTTACTAGAAACTGGCATATCTTCAAAAAAGAACTAAAAAATTACAATTGAAAAGTGTTAATTTTCGTAAATTGAAATATTTACAAAAATGCAATTTTCATTTATAGTTTAACACTGTGTTGTACACGATAGAACTGCTGGTACTAGAACTGGTAGAACTGGCGTACTTTTAAAAGATGTATTTTTTTATGTAAAAAATTTGGACTTTGAGTCACAAGTAAAAATATAAAGTTAGTAATCAGTTCATTTTATTGAGTTTTAGCCTCTTAGTCACATTTAAATATAATTGATGTAAATAACTGAATTTATTCTATCTAGATCGTTGCAGTGGGCTACTAGTTTCAAAGCTCTTTGGAGTACTAGACATCTTGTTTCTTCATTTGAAAAGTCAAAACATAAGTTCTGTATAATCAAGTCTTGACCCACCTACAAAGTATTGTTTCTCCTATTCTAGCTTAAATGTTTATGACCAAAGTGTGTGGAAGTGTTATACCTATTACTAATGTTGACCTTAAAATAATTATGAAATGACAAAACATTATCGGTCTGAAGACTGCAAGTTAAAACTAGTTGTCCTACTGTGTTCTAGATCGCATAAATGCAAAGTATTTGCAACAATTTAAAGTTAATAATAAAGTGTTTCTAATCAATCCGGTATGAAAGAAGACTACATAGAATTCAAAATAAACAAAAATTTTTTTATCAGCTATAGTAATGAAGTTTTATGGTAACTTCTTAACTGAAGTATTATGTCCATTTGTAAAACGGAGTATTATAGTGTAACTGAGGGAGCAGGAAATTCTTAGAACAACCTGAAACAGTTTTCAGGACTGAGATGAATTCTCCCAGTAAAGTAATATTGATTGATAAAATGTTGATTGTATAGTATTGTAAGGTTTGCAGTTAAGTTTTTCCAAAATTGTATTAAACAAATTAGAAATGGTTATTTTTTCAAAGCTATTATTGACACTGTCAAATATATGTTGGTACTTGACAAAAATAGCATTGGTACCAGTTTCAAGGTTATTTGATGTTAGCAAATTTACCAGTCACAATGGGATATACAACTAGACTATTGGGAGTTAATAATTAGTGTAGGATGGTGCCTTGTGGAGCTTTGTTACTGAAGTCTGGTAAACTGTTTTCTTTAGCCAGCACCATTTCTTGGCAATCTGAATACTCCCAAAAGAGCCACAAGTCTCAATTTGTTTGTTAAAACACTGTCCTAACTTTCAACAATGTTATTTTTAGTCCTTACAATCCATCTCTAGTATATCAGCAGATTGAAACTTGAGAACAATTCAGAGAGAAGAGCATTGGAACACTAAGGCAATCATCTGCAGCCGCTCGAGTAGAGAACGCTTGTGTCATGGCAATCATGTTTTGTTACAAGTGTTCTGGAAGTGTGACGTAGCAGTGGCAGACATACATAGTTTAAGGTAAAATGGACTTTTCCTACGCTAAGTGTGACTACATTACGTTTCGAATGGATCTCCTCTCTTTTTCAAGTGACCTAAATATCTACATTTACCTAACGATCTACTTTAGATATTGGATAGGGTGGTTAGGTAAATGTAGATATTTAGGTTACTTGAAAAACGGAAGAGTTCCCTTACCTCCCTAAATGTAACGTAGTTAAGAAAAGTACGGGAAAAGTCTATTTTACCTCAAATTAAAACACAGATATATCAGTAGCAAAAGTGTTCTCGATGAAGGACAAAATGTGGCAACATTCAGTTGTACATGTGTTCTGGCGTAGAACACCGGAAAATACAACACAATGACAGATCGCAAAAGTGTTCTGAAGAACATCAGAGGACGTTCAGTTGCAGATGTGTTCTTCTCTCTTGTACCGGCACAAGTCACACTTGACGTCACAACACCAGACGAAGCGACAGTGACACTTCTCTTCCACCTCTTTCACCCTCGTTTGGTACCCTCGGCCGCAACACAGCAGACGACATCCGTCCAGTCCCGGACTGCCTCGGTTACAAAGCCGACCCCTCGTACCCAGCACTCCCAGCCTGTAAACAGCATCATGATTTGTGAAACTTTTAATAGACTCAACATTTGTTTGCGTTCTTTCATAAAAAGTTCCAAACTAAGAAAGAAAAAAAACGAAGTCGAAATTCCTCTAATTTTCCCCTTAATCCCACAGTCCATAATCCCTAATTTATCTATACCTGTAAAGTAAGATGTTATATAATATTTTCTGAAAATAAATCTGTAAAAGAATACAAAATATTTGTAAAGTGGACTTGTTATGAGTAGGATACCTAATTGATCATAGTCTAGTAAATTTGGGGGTTTCAGAGGGAGAAATCTGGTACGAGGTAGAATTTTCCCATCGACTTCTAGCATGCAAAACACATTCTTCCCACTCTTCTTCTAGTCTTCAAAACCCACCTTATCCTCCTTGCTTGTTCCTATTGCCACATAGGGGCTGAATATCATCCCAGTAATTATTGTGTTGTGAATTTTTTGTGTTAACTTCCTGCAACTCCTTTCTACGATAAGTTGTATATCCGCTCTTTCTTCCTTAATTAATTCCTAGGCCTTTATGACCTTTCCTTCAAAAACCATGTCTACTTAATTAATCTAGAGTTATCTTCACTACCAGAAAAAAGCACTTGATACTTCAACTGTGTGGGAGTCAGCCATCAGATATTGCAGAAGGTACTCTAAATCTAGGCGGTGTACAGAGGTATTTCATCGCTTATGACACGGTCATCATCTTAAGACCACGAATCTACAGTGTGTGATAGTGGAAGAGACTATTCATGAAGATAACACTGAACATAGTTTTGTGTTTTCCCGAGCTGTAGTTATAGTTGCTGAGAGAAAAATCTTTTAATTGCAATGCTGTAAAGTACATTATACTCACGTCTCGTTACGCTCGCAGTAATCCGGTGATTCCTCAAGGTATACGAGCTCTGTCCTGTTAGGTTGTTTAAGTTCTCTGATGGCAGCTCGTAATTTTTTCACTCTTTTCCTGCGTTTCTCCACCATTTTGACGTACGAGGCTCCTTCAAACCTGGCCGTGAGAATGTCCCCGACTTGACGGAATGAGGGCAGCTTTCGCCAACAAACACGCACACTGCATGAGCCAGACATTCCGTGGCACTTGCAAACTCGCTGCATCTGTGATCGGATTATCTGTGAATAAAAATAGTGTTTTTGAAAACGACATTTTAAGGAGTAGAAAATCCACCGCTCTTTTTATTGGTTACAAAACAGGGTAATATCTAAAACTCCCAAATAACTACTAAACCCTGTAAAAGCACCTGATATTTCATTTGGGTCAAAATCAAAACTCCTCTAATCATATACATTTATCCATCCCTGTAAAGATATTGTATTGTTTCAATGATAATTTACGAACATAAAGCTGTACTGTATATTAAATTCAAAAACTGTTGAAGAAAACTCACATAGTGTTATGATGTGTTATGTATCTATTGGCTACATTAATGTGCTTCATTATATTTAGTTCTATGTGTAATTTTATGGACTTAGTGGAACATTGTGGAGTCTGTATGCCATTTTTTTAAATATTGATGTTTTGATTTGATGTTGTGGGTTTACGGTATTGATTACAGCTGTTTTTGTATGGTTTTTTAAAGTTATTTTTATCAAATATTGTGTGTTTTTCAAGCGTAATGTCCCGAAAAATTCTATTAGGCCTACTATCTACTTCCTTTATTGAATTATATTAAATTTTCTAATTCAGTTGTTTATAAGTTAATGCTGAAATTAAAAAACTATTAGTTACCAGCATGTAATGCCTATTATAAACATTAATTGGCATTACATTAAATGTTGTGCCTAATTAAGTTAGATGTTTAAAAAATTACATACCCTCCTTCCCGCCTCATTGTTGTGAAGGTTCATTAAGCCTTCGGCAGTTTCATGGTTTTCTCGGGCGTCCACAAATTCACGACTGAACTTCTCTCCAAAATGGATATCCTGTAAACCACTACATCTGTCATTATCACAGGCCTACAGAACATGATGGTGAATTGAAATATACATACCTAGAATATAATTTGTATGGCTTTTATAATGAGCCGCACAGTAAATGTTGTAAACTCAATACATAAAATGCTGCAATATAAACCGCTTTCATATCAACGCTCCAAGAAAATTTTCTATTTATTGTTGAAAATTGTTTATTTATTCTCCATAATAAACACCTAATTCTTTCATCGTTGTCACATGGAAATTTTAAATTTACAAATTTTTTAATTATCTCCGTAACTGATGGGTATACAACAACAACACTTCAATACACAAAATTATTTATTTTTTAAGCTCTACAAAATGGTTTGGAGAAATGATATTTTATGTTTTTAGGGTCAAAAATGGAAAAAAATCTATTGTTTACCCCATAAAAACCCCCCATAAACCCCATTTTCATTGTCTGATTATGCTGGTTCGCGAACTCATTCAAATAAGCAGGACCAAATTTCATCAAAATAGTATCATTTATGTTGGAGTTATCGCGCTAACGGACATATATACATATTCACATATATACATGAATTTGAATGGATGGTGTTTTTTTTCCTCTGGGGACCTCAAACTGAAAAAGTAAATCGGTTGGTAATAGCTTATTCCCTATATGGGAAATTCGCTAAAATGGTAATTTGTTTTGAAGAAACAGTTGTATATTTTCTACAGCTGTATGATAATTTCACTGCATGATTAAGTTCACTGCATGGAAATGATCACATGCCACGACTGTAAAAAGTACCAAAATAGCCCATTTCCGCTTTATTCATTCTCACTCGCTAATCAGCTGATTTCACTTTTGCCATTTATAAAACACAAAAAACCAAGTAAGGAAATACCATAACTAAAAAAACTAACATAACCTAAATAAAATTGTAATTACAGTACAGCTAAAAAGTTAATCTGTGTGTTATTTAAATTTAATCATGGTGATAGGAAAAATTTGTGTGTATTACGAGCACAAACAGTCATAACTGCTCTCAAAATGTATGGCCAAATTCGGCTTACTGAATAGTCAAATTGATAATAACATGTAAAAGTACTTACTTCAGAACAGCTTCCCCACTGCCAGTTCTTACGAGGTTTTCTCAGTCGTACACGATTGTCGCAACTACATTCTGTCAATTCACCTCTGGAGCAAGCACGGGTCACCGCGTACGCAACACCAGCTGACGAGATCGCGTACACGAACGCTGTTTCTCGACTTTCTGCAAAAATGTTAATTTTGAGCTAGTATACAATATTTACCAAAAGAAAGAGTTAACAACACAAAGAAGAATTTTCTGTATAAAGAAAGTTTGCATCCAACTTAAATTCTTGTACACAGGGTGTCTGGTCATCAGTGTTACAAAAATTAGTTGTTTTAAAACTTAAGTGGCTCACAGCCAAAAATGTTATATAAGAAAATAATTTATAATATACATAAAGTAATAACTTTATGCATTAATCCAATTGTCCACTTAACTCAACTATTAAAAAGTCCAAAGGTTTTAGAATAAGGTTCAAAGGAAGACTTACAGTAATTGTAAATCCTAACATTATTGTTACAGATTAAAATACAGAGACATAGTTTTAGATGGCATAGGTCTCAGTTTTTGTAACTTACTGTTAATTTAATGTGCTATTTGGAAAGAAAATTATCCTCATGTTAACGTAATATCTTCAAAAGTCCAGGGGACAGAGCCCTAGGTCAATATCAACAAAAAAATAAGATAGAAACCTTAAAAGGACTGATGAGTTTTAAATAAGTCAAAATACTAAAGTTTCATTGTTGTACACGAAGAAAGATTACTAAACTTTCCAATTCAAAGATATGCTGAAGAGTTCGGTTAGAGAGCAATGACTTTGGTTTACAATATAATTCAGTCGAGGGTTCTAGAGCGTTATAGGAGCATTTTATTATCCCTTCAGAGTCTTTATTGTCTCTTTAGCTCCTTCCCTACTTTACTACTACCATCTGCTAAGTCATCACTTTGGTATTATGAGACTGGTTTATCGCTTTTGTCATTCATCAGAGGTTTTAACACTGAGTTACCTTGAGTTTAATTAACAAAACGTGTTCATGTTATGAGCCAAAATGTATAAAATACAACAAATTGTTATTTAGGGTTTTTTATTCAGTTGGTTAGTTAGTTGATTGTTGATGCAAGCTGTCAGGCTTGTTGTTCTTTCTTCTTTGACAGGTAATTTAAAATTCTAAATTAAGGTATTTCATAAAATAGGTCAGGTCTCAGTCATTTTAGTAAAAAAATAATTAAAATAACAGTAAACTTGAGTAAAATACCTACAGGTTGGCAATATTTTTTGTTGTTGTAATTAGTTTGTAAATACTTTAAACACTAACTTAAATACAAGTTTCACTACTTATTTTAAAGTTCGTTCTTCAATAGTTTATTAGATAATTTTTTCAATAAGATTAGAAAATGGCAGACATTTTTACTTAAAAAGGAGTTTAAAAAAAACCTCATTCTTAATTTTCTTTTTATTTTGACCCATATGATACTTCCTAATTTTAAGTACTTATGGGAAACATAGTATAAGTCAAATTAAATTAGAGTCTTTAATACATCTTGTATACTGAACGTTTAAAGATAAAATGAGAAATATTTATTTCAAATGACGTGTTTTGTATTAAAACAAATAAGTAAAGACTGCTTGGCTAGCAGACACAAAAATGTGATTTCTTCTAAACTCTGTTTTTATTGAATCAGAGGTAAACAGTAAGACCCCATTAGACTTTATGAGTCTGTCTAAGCTAGATGTCCTTTTTGTTGCTTCTGTTTATTTACTCAATTCCTGTTAATGGCCTTTTTCTCATTTCATTTATGTGCAATAAGCTACTTTATTAAGTACTTTGTCCTTTTACTCATTGTCGTTACTTCTAAATGAGAAAATGAACCATCCTAAGAGCAATGCAAGTCTGTGATTTGTGTAGATTTACTGAAACATTTGATAAAAATTGGGCCTGAGAATCATTATGAATAAAGCTGTTTAATTGTTTACGAAAATTGATATTTTAAGATGATTTAATTGGTAAATTAATAAATAAATAAGTTCTATTAAAGATTTCTCTACTAAATTTTTACCTCTCATTTTTGTCTACATTTAAGCCACTTAACTCACTTTTCTAAGCACTTTAGCGTAATGATCAGATCCTAGATTAGTGCATCGAAGAAATTTCCCATGGTATCCAACTTATTTCTAATATATCTGACAAAATAAAAAAAATTACAACATAACCATTTCAATTAGTACTAGTAACCACAGAGAAAGTAAGAGGCAGAGGAATCATTCATTGGTACACCTAAGTGGTGTCTAGCACTATTCTCTACCGGTACTCCTAACCACCATGGTACTCTTTTTCTCCCTCGCCATTACATACAACGATCAAGCTAGAGGAAGACCCTTTGCCCTGTGCAATAGAACATTCCGCACAGTGCTCGCCATTCAGGCTCTTCCTTGCTCGCGGAAAGCGCACAATCGTCCCATAATAAAGTATCGTCTCTACTTTACTTCTCTGTGCAGTAATTAAAGTGTGTATTTTTGTTAATGATCAGCTGTTTCTTTGTAACCAAAGTTTTATTTAAGCACAACAATCAAAGACAACTGTCAACTGAACAACAGACTCAACAAACCGCAGTTGGTCTTTTCCGTAATACAAAATCCTAACGCTTCTTTCTTTACGATCAAATGTTATCAAAATCCTCTATCAAACAATAAAAATAATTACTTCATCACATCAAACGTTACTTACTTATCGTGACAACTTCTCCGAAAACAGAAGAAGTGTTGCTGAATGTCGTACAGTTCCATCTGCTCATATGGAACTGGTGTTGGCATTCCTCTATGCTCATCTTAGCACCGTTGCCAATAGCCTGGGGAAAAGTTATGCAAATTGAATTAACGGTTTTAAATACATATGAATTAAGTAGTTTTTTAGAGAATTAAAAACAATATGGTACCGGGATGATAAAATATTTGTGACAAATCAACCAAATATCTGATTGGAGAGTTTTGTATTTGGCAAGTTATATTTAGACTTCACAGAGACTTTTTTGATTTTACTGTTTACTTTCTTTCAAAACGTTGCATTTACTCTCCCTCAGAAATCACAAAATAAAGACTGAATTTGATATGAATTCTTCTTGTTTCTAAAAGAAAATGTTATAAAAAATAAATGAAACATTCACCACTTAAGAATGGACTAGTTTGAATATTATGCTTAACCCTTCAAGCCCCATAGATATATTGGCAATCAAGAGTAACATGCCCCAACAATATGAGTGCAACTCAACAAAACCGTCTAAGAACTGTTAATGATTTGTGCTGCAGTCTACGAGTAAAGTTTAGAGCTACATTGGCCTTTGGGTTTACCAGTGGAACAACAGGTCCTGATCAACAAAGGCTTTTGTCTCCTTGGCCAGAAGATAGCATGACAGCACCATAGATTAAGGGTTCAAATTCTGTCTAAATCAAATCAAGTGTGCGAATCATAAGGAGTTCAAATGTCTGTGACAAAGCTTGCATGGTGGGAGAAGCATGACTAAAATAAAAAGTTGACAGCTTGGATAAAAGTTGACAAGATGTATGTATTTGTAATTCCCCCTCATATCTCGTGTCAACCAAAAACAGTCCAAGTTAAATCAAATCAAAAATCCCTAGGATCAAAGGGTTAAGGACCCCATAAAAGTATCTGGCTTAACCTAAAAATATTTATCTCAACTTGACTAACCCCAAGAATGTTTTCGCTGAGGCCACAAAGTTGTTGTTGCCTCTCCACCAGGTACTGCAGTCTGTGACAGTTCTCCTTGTGACTCAGTCCTAGCCCAGCTCCTGTGTGAGGTCCTTGCAATCCCAGCAACCTACAAGAGCACATCACATTAGATATCTCTTATGTTATCTAGTGGTCACAAATTTGCTGTTGTTTCTCTTTGAACTGCAGTTATTACTGCACTTATTAGCAATAACTGCAAACTAATAACTGCATAATAATCACTGCAACTACAGTGCTTTCAAACAGCCGTGGCACCTGACAGATTAGGAGACCCCATGGACACCCTCGGGGTCTCCTAATCCCTCAGGTGCCATGACTGTTTGAACGCACTATAAAAGCCTTGTTTACACCGGAGTTTGGAACAAAATGTTTGGAAACTTTACTTTTTGTTGGTAAAACTTGTTTGTAAAACAAAAGTTTACAATAGATAGTGCATACTTTTCTTTCATTTTGTTGAAAACAATTTAATCATTGTGTTCCCGAGAACACAAGGTCAGTCCCTCTCGAGGTAGACACATGGTGGTGGATAGGCGCGGGGAGTATCAGGGAATTGAAGTACAGAAAAATACTTTTGTTCCAAAACAAATGTTTTCTTATGTTTGGAACACCCTTTGATATTTACCGACTTCTGGTGAGAAACAAAATTTTAATTTCTGTTGTAAACACTAAAAAATTGTTTCCAACATCAAAATGTTGCTGTTCCAAAAGTAGTGTTTCTTGGATTTTAGGAACATTAGTTGTAATTTTAAACACGTGTTCCTAACTCCGGTGTGAACGCAAAACATATATATTCTTTTTTTCTTACACAAAATGTATTAGTTCAATCAATTGGGTTAAAATAATTTTATAAATATATATTTTCTTTGAAGAGTCCCTTAAACACAAATTAATGTACAATTGCCAGAAATGACTTACCGTAACTGTTTCCAAACTGAAGTTTGTTTCCCACCTACCAATGTCATAAAAACTATCACTAAACTCTACCCCACTGTAGTTCGAACATTTAATCTATAACCTAGCTGAAATTCCTTTTACAGACAGATCATTTCATTAACATACCATTTTCTGTTACCCTCTTTCCTACCTTCAAAAAAAAACATGAAATCTGTGGGTGCACACCCCTATTTGTCGCTAATATAAACACATGCTACATACACTCCCTGGTGTCGAGCTAGGGGTGGCAGGCACATGTAACCAGAGTTTATAGCTGGGGAGGGCTGTGGTCGCAGGGGCGCAGCCCCGTTAAGTTTACGATCTCAGAAATCTACTTGGCAGTCAATCGGCATGTAGGTCGTCTTATTACTCATATAAACCCCGCAGCGCCTGCCTCTCGTCATCGTACAACTCCCGCCTGCCTAAACATGTGTCGCTTATTGCCGCCTGCCTTTGTGCCTGGAGTATTTAAATTGCCTGCCTTTGTGGAAAAAGGTTTGTGTATTGGAATTGACATTGAGTTTGGGGAAAGTAGACATCTCATCCTGTTGTAAAATTAAAATCTGAACCGCGTAGACTAAAATATTTTATCTTATTTTAGGATATTGTTTGTGTTTCACTGATTGGTTAGAATGTTCTATGAGGAAATCATTAGTTCATAAATAGTTAAATTTATTTTGTTAACATAGTTTTCAGTTCGTAAAAAACAAGAAGCAAATAATCCTACTCTAAACACGAGCGATTTCTGTTTGTGTGAATGTTTGTAAAATATATCTCTCATATATATATCAAAACACTGATTATTTTAACTTGGCTCTGCCCCAAAAAAATCATTCTCTCGAAGAAGTACCGTACCAAACTATTGTTTGCACACTTTAGTTTAACATTGAAATTTATATTGTTTTAACTATTACTGTAAATTAACCACCCAGTTAACCTTGCTGAGCAGGACTCGGTCCCCTCTGGTACCAAACAACAAAAAGCTCTCTACACAAACCGGATGAAAACGTTAAAAATTTATTCCAAATTATAAGGATGATAAATGTGCAGGGTGTAACAGGATTACATATGTCTAATCTACGGCTTTGATCTGCGGAGCGTATGAAGACCCGTGATAAGATTAATTTTGAATCTTAAAATAACAGTGCCCCAATAAAGCACTATTTTTCGTCATTTCTTATAAACAATTTGCTGATTAGCCTAGAAGTTATTTCAGTAGGCCTATTATCTATAATAGGCAATATATTTAGTAAAATAATTTTGAAAAGTCAATAAAATTATACATTTTATGATTTTATATTCATTGAGAATTCGATTACTAAACGCGTCTACTAATGTATTTCAGAGGCAAAAATGCTATTTCCTGTCTCTTAAGTCACTAAAATTAAAGATAATTTCTTGTAAAGCTAAAACGAATATTATAAGTAAACTAATAGTTCTTATTATTCTTAATAAGAACTGTGTGAATTGCGAGAAATGAAATAATTGACGAATTAACTAATTATAACTAGGATAAGAAAATCCGTTCAATTATTCTACTAAAATATTATACTAGAAATAACCCCAAATGAATATGATAACATTAGACTATATTTATGTTTTTTTTTTACGAATAAAATAATTTTAGCCCAATCCTACAGCTACAGAACAGAACAGCTTAAATCTTTTTTGATATAAAAGTTAATATTGGACGACTTAAAATGTTAAAATACTTTCTGATTTAATCGTTCATACATATTATACCGTAACTGAGATATAAAATGGGGGGAAGTGTTTTCAATAAAATGATGTAAATCCTCATTAATCCCAACCTTAACTGATGGTAGGTTGGGGAAGATGAGGTAAAACATCGACCAAAACATGTTTACACCAGGTAGTGTGAAGGGAGCCTTTCTTTTAGAGAACTTTAGTAAGTGAATGTTATACCTTTATACAAAGAAGTGCGATATTAAAGAATATGTTTTTTTTCATATTTACACATACTGTACATTGAATATATCGGCAACAATTATTTCAAGAACGTCAAATATGAATTTAATCTTATGTCTACATCTCTCTATTAACATTGTTCAATTATTATTTTATTTTGTTTAAGATACGTTAGTCCTAGCAATAGAAAACTTAATGTTTCATTTTTCTAAACCCTCATTTGTAATACGACAAATGTTTTTCAAACAAATTATTTATAAAGAATAAATAAAATTAAAATACAAATTACAGTCATAGTCATGATTTTACTGTAAATTTTCTTCTTGTTTGCTTACACAGGCTACTAAGAGTCATTTGGTATATTTTTAATATTTTGAAATGTTTACGATTTTACTTTGCGGTGAAAAAATGTTTAGTAAAGAATGTTGTAAAGAAATAAATTCATTACCGTACTGCCGTAGTGATTTTTGTAGTATGTTACTCCGACAGTAAAATATATTTAAATTACTATTATATTTTGATTTGTGTATATATTATAAAAATATATCCGTTTAAAGTTTAATGAGTTTAGAGACTACGTTACCAAAACAATAAGTTTGACCACGGACTTATGTGTAATCTATTGTTCAACAGTATATACTTATGTTTTCGAGTTTTCAACCAATTATTAATGTGCTTAATATACTTTATTTGATACATTATAGCCTATATAATTTATTTATCAGGTTACTACTGTTGATGCCCTGTACTCATAAACTAAAAACATTTACGCCATACAAAGTCATTTACTTATGAGCATCGAGCATGTCACTGTCATACATATGAAAGTTATGAAATTTCATCCTGACATGTTGGCAGCTCTGATTGGCAGTTCAACATGTGCGCGGCCTCGTCAGCTGAAGAGCCCTTGTAAGAAGGACTCGCAGGCTAGTTTAGCCTATTATAAGGAGCAAGTACTCTTCACAAGCCCCACCCTCGCCCGCCATTTTGTTGTTCCCTCTAATTAGCCCTTTTGTTCCTCTATGTTTACTTAGTCTTCCTGTGCTTGCACAATGTCTTCCACCCCTACCACCGTGCGCCTTTTCTTCTTCTGCTCGCTGTAATGTATGCTTCGAGTAATCACGTACGCTCTCAACCCTTTTTACAAACTGGACACTCGGTTCTATGGCACTTGTGCTCGTATGAGCTTTGAGTTCTGTTTGAAAAAATACCTTTCAGAAAACTTAAGTTGTGTTCTATACCGATCAAAACTGTTATTTCTGGTCAAAACAAGCAATATTTAGGATAGAGATTTCTTCTAAATTTTCTCACTTTTTAAATTTTTTTAACATTCTGAGTCCCAGAGGCTGATGGTAGATAGTATCTAAGATTTTCGTGGTTGGTGGATTCTTTTTAGTTACAACTTTGACGATGGAGGGAATTAGTCATTTCACTCCCATGAAAAGTACCGACCCTATAGAGTACGCAGATATGGCAGTACTAATTTATACCGAATAAGCCAACTTTTGACCAAGGCCAAGCTTTACAGGACAATAATTATTGTAAACTGCAGCGTCCTTAATATCGCAATAACTCTTATGGTAATGACTAGTTATTTGTTGTCGTAGTCATAGTATTAATAAACATGGAGACAAAAAAATTCAACGATCAGTATCCAGCCACGCAAATTAAAAACTTACAAATCTTATGACTCATAAATCATCAACATTACGAAACATACCTCAATCAATACTTGATATCACTACGATTTTTTACAAAAAACTACTCAATGAATCATGCGCTACAACGATTTTAAAGTTCACCAAGAACATCGGGCGCGTTTCATATTCGGGCGAACCAGAATCCTTCGGAACTTCCCGCACAACAGAAATATCAAATTACATCATAACTCGTCAAAAGCCGTCAGCCAGTCTATTGGCTGGAACAAAGCGTATATCTTTACATGAAAATAAACAATGCAGAACGCCGTAGGGACGTAGCAGCTGCATTGCATTTACATGGCTGCATGTTAAAACTATCAACGTGGTTCAGAATATATTTTTGAAATAATTGTGTTTTCCAACAGTGCCAGTACCGCTAGTAGAACTCAATCAAAATAGTTTTTGCTTCAAGAAAATTATATTCAAGTTGGGAGTACATTATTGTTAAAGCATTAACAAATATATCAATTTATAGGTTAATAAGTGCTGTAGTCATGCTCGATTGTTAACATATCATGTTTGCCTA